TGTGTTTACCTTTCATGTAACAAAAAATCCACTTTCGACTTACCGGCTACCACAGTACGAAATAACTATCTTAGCAACGACATCTCCAATCCATGGGCATGATTCCTAAAGGTTGAAACATTAAATAAGACCGATACTTATACCTAAAATCCAAAAAACGAGACCCATTTCAGAGACACGTTCCCATTATACAAGCTCTATGTATTGCCCTCACCCCCGACTCGAACACAATCCGAAATACAAACAAACTAATACCGATAAAGACTATTTCATATTTGTGTTGTAATTATTAAATAAGCCACAGTGAGTACGTGGTGTTATGACACGCATGTGCAATAGGCTAGAAAGTGTCATAAGAAAACGAAAGGTATATAATAATATTATGGTATATATATGAAATTCAATTTACATATCGTTTATTTAAGTTTAAGTTCAAATTCCATCTGAGCAATGTCGCATATACTGTCTTTTTGCAATAAAATTCAGTTTTTTGGATCTATCACTACTTTGAGGGCGGCATGATGTATTCCAGCAGTCATTTTGACTTGGACAAGAAACGGTATGAAGAAATATCGATAGTAGTAAATCATTTTAACAACATTTTACCATAGCGTTGGAGGACAGAATGTACTTAAAGTGGGAACTTCCAAGCCCAGGGATTGCATCAAAGAATCGTGGGACACTATTGTTTATGTTGTTTACAAAGTTAGTCTATCTTTTGTTATCCATTGTAATTTTAATCCAGTAAGTAAATTTGTTGTGAGATTAGGCTTAACTGAAAGTACCCCTTTAGCATTTGATAGACTGTACATACTGACTCCAAAATTGACAGGTGACTTTCTCTAATTGTCGCAATCGAAAAAATATTAATATAGCATTTGAAAATGTTGTATGATGGTATGGCGAAATTGAAATGCTTGTAAATAAATAAATAAATAAATAAATAAATAAATAAATAAATAAATAAATAAATAAATAAATAAATAAATAAATAAATAAATAAATAAATAAATAAATAAAT